TCCTCGGACCGGCAGTGCTGTAAGGGAACATGGAGCTCGGGAAGGTAGGTGACGTGTAATGACCTGCCTCCCGGCTTCCTGATTGGCTGGGAAGCCGATTTCGGAACAATAAGCATCGAGCCGGCCGAACAACATGGAGCTGGCTTCCCGGGGCAATCAGGAAGCCAGGCGGCATGTCATTAGCCGCTGCATGGCTACCTGATTGCCCGGGAAGCCGGCTCCATGCCAGTGGAAGTACCGGTATCGGTACACAGTATTGGCGAGTACCAAAAGCAATATATTGGTATTCGTACTCTATACCGAAAAAGCGGTCTCGGTGCATCCCTAGTATCCACTTTTATTTATGTTTTGGCTGGAAGTTTGCTTTAAAGGGAGTATGTGCACTTCCCTACCCATCTAAATTCTCCTCCTTATCAGCCCAGAAGCCTCCCATAAAAATAAACAACCTGGGCTCAAAGGAACTGGGTTGAATGATGCTGGTCTTCATACTGAGGACATCTAGTGGCAGAAAAAAACACTGCAATGCAAAAACTCTGAATAAAAGACAAATATTCAAACAGAACCTGGTTTTAGCTTTTAATGGACCATTTATTTTGTAGGTTATTTTTGGCTGGTGTTCTGCTTTAACAGTTCACCGAGTATTCTGGAGTTTCCCTCAAAAGCCTAAAGAAAAGATTTTGCTTAAAAAATGCAAAACATCCAGTAATTTAAGACTACTGTGCGTACTTGCTCAAAGGCAAAAACAGATTATGTACAGCCGGTGTACAGAAAACAATGTTCACATGTTTAATAGCTCAATGTTACATTTCAATTGCGTCATTGTACTCATAACCTGTTCAATGACATTTAATACACCAAAAAAAAAGCCCCACAGTACCTAAAGCAAAGCCCAGGAGCCAGGTCGCCAATGCGCCCCTTAAAAATTACAGCTGGCACCCAACATTTGAGGTATCCTCTCGTTGTAGTCAACGGCACTGGCTCATACAAAAATCCAGCTGGCTCCTGGATTCCAGATTCATTTGTCCACACGGACCTAGGACACCTCTGTTTGGAAATTGCCGGGCAATTTACTTTCATGTCTACTGATATAGAAGAGATCATTTAGAATCGTGCCCAGGGAGTATAAACAAGCCATTCTGACATTTACTGAATAGCAAATAAGTGTGTCTAGCAGGAAAAGGATTGCAACGTAAAACAGTTTACTATATATAAGCCGTGCAATTTATACAAGTGTCAGCCTGCTAGCCATACTACAGAGGAACTTCCCACCAACCCCTCCAGGACTGGACACATGCATACTGAGCTCACAATGTATGCCAGCAAAGGGATCAAGCCCAAGCTATGATTTGTAGTTTGACTAGAATGATTACTTACTTGGAGGTGCACCGAAATGGAAATTTTAAAACCGAAATGAAACCGAAATAAAAAAAAAATTGTCAGGCCGAAACCGAAAATGTTTTTTATTTTAATTTTCAAATTTTAATTTCTTTTTTATAAAATGTTTAATTTTTTTATATATATTTGTATTTATTTATTCATTTTTTATTAAATATTTTTCTTTTTTACATTACTTTTAGGGGCTTCTGGGAAATATTGGGGGACCCCTGATATTTCCCTTTTAAAATAGAAAAAGAGATTGAGAACACAAAGTCCTCAATCTCTTTTTCTGTGTCCCCTGTTATCAATGAACAGGAATCCTCTATGAGTGTTCCTGTTCATTGATAACATGAGGGCATGATATGTTTACTATAACTACAACTATGAATGAACAGGAGGTGATGTAGATCGCTCCCATTCGTTCATAATTGAGGCTATAGTTAACATACCATGTCCTCAATTATGTACAAACACTCAGTGATCGCTGAGTGTTTGTACCTGGCTCTCCTCTCTGACACGCTGTCACAGGAGGCTGATCGAGCTGTGTAGGGAGGAGAGCTCTGCCTCCTGTGACAGCACGGCCTGTCTCCGCCCCCCACACCACTCTGCCGATCTGTGATAGGAGGCTGAGCGGTGTGGGAGGAGAGACACCGGCCTTTCGCATCGCTCGCAGGCTGTCACACTTTCTCTCCTACCCGCTGGGACACAGAACAGCGCCCAGCGGGGACGAAAGAAAGCAGGGATGCGCCGATGTATCGGCAGGAAAATGGCACTTTCGGCAGTATGCCAAAAGTGCAATTTTCGGCCAATATGTTTCGGTGCATCCCTATTAGTTACCTTTATCAGAATAAGATTTAAGGCTCATATCCACTACAGCCCTGGTGCCCAACCTGCAGCTCGAGGGCAACATACAGCCCTTTAGTGTTTGAAGTTAGTCCCTCAGCCCCAGCAGTTCATTGATTTTTTTTTTTTAAAGAAATGTCTAGCAGTCTCATGTCTCTGACGGTCTCCTACAGCATAACTTAGGCTGTAAGCTCTCAGGGGCAGGGCCCTCCGTACCATCTTGTCTTTATTTGTATTGTAACTGTAATGTCTTCCTTGTATTGTAAAGCGCTGCGCAAACTGTTGGCGCTATATACATCCTGTATCATAATAACTTCAGACTCCAAGCTCTCCTGTACAACAGTCTGACTATTTAGTGAAGCTGGCCAAATTTCAGCCGGTTCATTAAGAAATTCAAAAATCGGTGGGTGGCCCTGTTGGCAGCCTCCCACCTTCATACGGAAAATCAAGGCTGGGTTGAAAATTCTCAACTGAATAGTGACTGCAGCCAATGAGCTGAAGTCACTGCTCGAACATTTTGACAGCAGCACACCCGCCACTGTCAGAATACAACAGCCACAGTGGGAGATTTTACCATCCACGCTACTTAGCAAAGATGGAGGAATCTGCTAGATTTTTTTTTTATGAAATAAAGCTAAGATTGTATGACCAGCTTAAAGTGACATTAAACCCTCAGATTTTTTAACATAAACCAATAGTGTAATGTGTGTCTTACTGTAATCCATGGTTGTTTCCCTTCTATTTGCTGCTCTTCCTTTTAAATCCTCATGTGTTCTCATGCTGGGCATAATTTCTGTTTTGCAGCAGACTGCCTTGTCTCTGGAATGGATACACGGTGTGTGTGCAGGTTCACAACCTGAGCCAGCACTACAGGAAGAGGCACTCAGCTGAAAAGGGAAGTTCTCCCCCAGCATGAGAAGACATGAGGATTTAGAAGGAAGAACAGCAAAGAGAAGGGAAACTACCATGGATTACAGTAAGGCACACATTACACTATTGGTTTATGTTAAAAAATCTGAGGGTTTAATGTCACTTTAAGTCCTCAGTCTATGTTAGTCTCCTGTAGCAATACATATAATAATTATTATATAGAGCCCTGTGGACACATTAGGGACATTTGAGGCCCCCTATAACTTATAAGTTAACAACAACTTCGCTAGAGCCAGATTTACAGTGCTGATTGTGTGGACTTCACAAAAACAGTGTGCAGAATTTGTAATCTGCCTCATTTCAGCAGAGAAAAGGGCCATCTATTGAGCTACTGTGACTGCATTCAGCATACAGAAGTGTGTTTGACTTTCCCGTAAACCAAGAGGGTCACACATGAGGGCCCGTGTTGGCCCAAAAGAGGAGGTGGATGCATGCAAAAAAAGGTGAATGGGGCACACAAAATATCAAAAGCAACTTCTTACACTATTTTATGACTTGGATTGCAGAATATGGAGAATCAATGTATTTACAAGATCTATTTTTGTTTCATATTCAAAAGTGTATTACTTTCTCATTGTTTGGTATGAGGGGTGATAAGGGGCTCTGGCCGCTCTGCACTTACCATTTGTTTGCATTTATGTGAGAGAAACTGTTAAGCTGCGTATACACTGCTAGATTTTCATACAAACGTTCATTCAGGGGTGTGGAGATTTTTGAAAAAACGACTTGTCCAAGGACTAAAGCGGCGGCCGTATCTACTTGTCCCTTATGACAATCTACTTGTCCGGATACAAAAAAAATCATTTTAACCAAAACCATATTTAGCAGTGCTAAGAAGCGCTTCTCATTGGTCAGTGCCGCCAGGTGACCGCGTTGACCAACGAGTGCTTGCAATTTGCGAGCGAAATTCAGAATACATGGAACAGGTACAGATAGTACAATGGACAAACGCATTATCTGACCTCGTTCGGCATTGAATGTTCTAGCCAAGTCAAAAGCACTAAAACAAAACAAGCTAGAAACAAAACAGAGCAACTGATTACATACAACACACAGATTTTATCGTCTTAGATTAGACAAAGGACCAAAAATAAAAGTCAGAACAGAACAGTTTACAGCCCCAAGTCATACTACCCTATTTGTGCAGGGATGCGAGGTTAGAATTAAAGCTGCATGTAATGTAAGTTTGCAGCACTTCTGAAATGATTTCCGACTCTGAGGTTGAAGGGGAGACTCTGAGGTTTAAACCCCAGCGCCCAAATAAACACAATACCAAACTTATTTTCAGTTTTGGCACTGTGGAGATAAATAAATAGATTTTGCTTTGCAGTTTGGGCACTTGGGCTCAAAAACGTTCGCCATCACTGCTCTAAGCTGTTGGTCTAGCTGCAAGTTTTTAAGATAAAATGTACACAATGCTCATTTTCTGCACTCAAAGCATTATTTTGATAATATTTGACACCATCAGCATTTTGTGAACCAACTGAAGTAGAGGAAATCGTTCCTTTTCATGAAGAATTCTTTCCTAGAAAATGATTCACGTCTTGCAAGCACTGTCTTATGTCTATGACTAACTGAACTTTCATCTTCATTGCACTTTGTGCTGCTTTATTAAAGAAGCCGGACAAAGATTTACAGTCCAGCTGATAAAGTACAATGAGCAGCTCCACGGCTGAGCATTGATCGTGTACATAACATAGAAGCCTCCAATATCACACCTATCAGGTCCCTGTATAGTCCTGGCACAAGACACACACACACACACACACACACACACACACACACACACTGCGCAGGGACTTTCTCTGACCAGGAAGAGGTGGAAAGAAATGTAAAAATGAAAACAATACCTTTTGTACTTTCTGTGGATTGCTCTGCTGTGTACCAGTCCCCCTTTATCAGGGCTTGTAGTAGCACTGGACCGTGATATGGTTAAAAAGAAACTTCTTTGGAATATATTTAGCTAATGTCTGAATTATATCCTTGTTCTAACACACAAGCATTTCATCACCGTCCTATCCCATCTGGCAGGGCAGAAGACCCGATTTATCTCTGTTATAGTTAAAATCACGCATCCTCATAGTTCGAGCCGACGTGCGACAATGAGACTGTCACAGGTCGGCTCAATAGATCGGGATATGAGCGAACAGATACCATCGCTCGCTCACTTCTCGATCATCTCCCTGCAGAGAGCCGTCTGTCAGTCACGGTTCTCTGCAGGGATTCCCCCCCCCCCACTTTGATTCTCCAGTGCTGACTGGCAGAACGGACAGGGGGGGGGGCACAGCTGGCTCTGCCTCTAAATAGGCAGAGCCAGCTGTCGATCAGCCAGCTGGGTGGAGCTCGACAGTAATGTCAGGATCCGTCCCGGCTGTGGCGGTCTCAGTATATCGTGAGCTGTAGCTCGCGATATACTGAGCTTTGTGTCACGGGAGGACGCCAGTTTATGTCCTCCCCTGACCCTGAGGAGAACTATGGGGAAAAACACTTACCCCATAGTTCTCTTTTAAGTATCACTTACAAGCCCTGTGTCCCTCTCCCAGTTTGTGACTGGACAGTGAACAGAAAAGCAGCACAGTGATGAGCTCCTCTTTGTCACTCTGCTCTTTCCTCCTCCTATGAGCATGTTCTTCATTAACACATGAGCGCTGCAGGACAAATGACTGGCTCCTTCTGCCGTTTCTCCCTCACTCAATCTGAGCACTGCTGTACAGTGAATAGCAATAGGCCGATACCAAGCCAAAGTCAGTCAAGTCAAATTCAGGCGCTTTCTACTGCTAGCAAGCAAAAATGTATATCAAACAAAGATGTAAAAGATTAGAGTGATATTAAAATCAAAATGTTTTTACGTTATTTCAAATGCTGATGAAATCACTTACAATGGATGCTGCTCCCTGATGCTTAAACGTTTTAGCTTCTTGCAGAATCATCTTGCATGGCATATGCGGACAGCACAGTGTCGTAGTGAAGAACGCTTCTGCCTTGTAGCACTGGGGGTCCCTTGTTTAAATGCCAGTCAGGACACTATCTTCAAGGAGTTTGCATGTTCTCCCCGTGCTTGCATGCGTTTCCTCCGGGTACTCCGGTTTCCTCCCACACTCCAAAGACATGCTGATAGGTTAATTGACTCCTGTGCAAATTGGCCCTGTATGTATGCATGTTAGATAGGGAACTTTAGATTGTAATCTCCTTGAGGGTAGGGACTTATGTGAATGTACACTGTGTAAAGCGCTGCGATGCCGATGTGGATTGTCGCAAAAGCACATTATTCGTGTCCTGCTGTGATCCAGCTCTACTGCCGCCAGAGAGCCCATCAGGTCATGCGTCAATTCCTGTAGCAGGACACTCCGGGGGACTCCATCTGGAGACACTACGCCAGCGAGGATGGTTGCCATCTCCTTCCATTATCGAGGGGAACCTCTGGGCAAACATTTTTTGTAAGGACTCTGGGGGAATCAGTCCTGGGAAAAAAGTCCTGTGCATGAGACCCTACAGGTCCACTGTCCTGCGCGTAAGAGCAGCATGCCCCAGGAGGCCCCTGCTATCTAGCATGATAGGCCTGGAGTAAAATAACAAACGTTGTGATGCTCCTGTTCGGCCAGAGGAAACACAAAATACTGAGGTGGTTAGGAGGGACCGCCCTTTTTATTCTAATTGTGGATGATGTGTTTCCTGTTTCAGGTGGGAGGATCCCATCTCTCAGAGGCTGCCCTGGACGATGACTGGGGAAATTGTCTGCGCTATATAAATACCAATAACAAATAAACCAATAATAAATATGCAGGGCTGTCAGTGTACAATGGGCAAAAACAAACAATGGTAGAAGGCAGGGGAAGAGATTTTATGGTAGATGAGACATTTAGTCTCTTCCATCATAAATACCTACCTGCTAGCAATTTTACAAATTGTTATTTTGAGGATAA